TATATAGTAAAATAAGAAATCAGGAATGAAAGAAGGACAAGTAGATATCCATCAGCTTCAAGATAGTGATTGCTTCCAGGGTAGAAAGAGCCTATTGGAATGGAAAAAAAGAGGAGGATTTAACTATGTTTATAGTGTTTTATATCCTTTACAGAAAAACGATGATTTATAGAAAACATGGGAAAGTGTTAATATTAGTTAAGTCTAGTGGCTGGTATGTGGATGGCTCATTCTTTTACGTATATTTGAATTATTTCATAATAAAAAATAAAAACATTAAGATGAAAAATAAAAGTCTATATTCATTTTTGCCTATATCTCTTAAATTTCAAACTATAAATTCCTATATTTGTGAAGAGAGAGAGATGAGAAAAAAATGAAGACCTCTTCTTTCCTATTTCGTAGATGAATAATTTATTTTAAAAATAAATAATAGTAATAAAATTCTTCACCCTTCATTTTTCATCTTTTTTGTGATAATTTTTAATGTATTATTTCCCCTTTCCAATTCTCTTTTGTATAATTACATGGTTTTTCAAGTTAAATATTACTCCAGCCAAAGTAGTACTCTATGTGTATTCATATTAGGTATGAAAAGCTAGATTTATTTTATTTTTTCTCTCTCAAATTTTATGCAGTATTCGGACTAAGCTGTTTATATGTAACACTGTAGCTGATCAAAAAATGTCTCAGTGTGTCTCTTCTGTTTTTCTCCACAAAACCTTTCCAGATCCTGGAAAACAGAAGAGACACACAGCTAAACTCTGGACTGGCACCACAGATGAAGGATGAAAAAGGGGAAAGCACTTGCTTCTTATGTTGGGAACAGGGGAGAAAGTTCTATTTCAGCTCCCTGGAGTGGGCTCATCTCTCACTCGTTGGCCTTGGGTCACACATCATGGCTTCTGTTGTGGACTATGGAAGCTGACTGTCTTCCCTACTCCTACTTTCCACCCTGCAGAGTTTCCTGGGGAAGTGCACTGGGCAGATTGGTCTTGAGACCCCCTTCCTCTTGGTTCCCTCTTTCAAAAAGCAAAAGCTGCTTCCCTTCTGGTCTCCAAGAGGAGGGAAGTAGACAAAGTCAGCCCCCAGGAAACTGCATCTTAAGATACTGTGATTGGGGGTATCCTATAGCTTTGATGGGCTGCCAGGTAGCTCTGCCCTTCCATTCTCTGACTGTTGGTGCAGGTAGGATGACAAGCCCTTTGAACTCATCTCCAGTGGTACATTTCCTGGATTTCCAGACCCAATTCCTGTATTCCCCAGGGGTTTGGACTATGAATCCCTAAGAAACGAGTTAAATCTCTGCCTTCTGACCCCCTGTCCAGGACGAGACAGAGATGCCTCTTTATGACCCAGGTCTGTGACTCTGGCCACCTCCAGTGCCTGTCCCCACCTTGTCTGGGCTCCACTTAAATAGTGTGGTTGTCTCTGAAGCTGTGTGGGAGCTCTGGGCTGAGTTTAAGTGGTCTCCCCATTACCTCACCTCTGTTCTTGATAGTGTAGTCATTCTAAGGCTGTCATCTCAGTAACTATGCCATTTGCTTAGAATATTGAAGGAAATTGAAGGAACATTGTTCATTTCCCACAGGTCTCGCAAAACACCATGTCTACTTTCCCACTTTCTGTGTTGGTTCCCCAAGGGGCTTCCTCGTTGTGATTCAGAAACACTGAGAGTGAAAAGAAGTCTAAGGAATAGCTAGAAAGGTCGCTGGTTGAAGGAGCACTTACCCTTGTCAGTGTGCAACTCCTCTCCCCATCCAATCGTTTTCCTCATTACCCCACCCCCCGACCCCGCCACATAGCTTGGGAAGAACAGGGATGATGTTAATCCATTTTGTCCCCATCGGGATTAGGAAAGTGAGTTTGAAGTGGCTTGCCTTATTCATCTTCAAAGCTCTTTCATATATTACTTTTCTTCTTTTTATCCTCATTTCCCAGTACTTAGCCCAGTGTCTTCACATAGTAAGTACTTGATAAATGCAGTTGTAAGACAGACATTTAGTAAAATCCCAATGCCATGTAATCAATGCGTCTTCTTGGTGCTCTTGAGAATTCAAAACATTGACTGTTTAACTTTGTTTAAACTCTGGGTGATTGGAAAGACATTTGGCTATGTTTTATTACTTTTAAATATATTTGCATCAGAAAGTTTAAAATTGCCTTATAACCATGGCCATCTTTGATTTTACCTTGTTTTTTTCTCTTGGTTTTATTCAGTAATTCATCAATTTTTATTATTCCTTTCTTCAAAATATTTATGTCCACCCTTTTCTCTTCATTCCCACAGTCTGCCTCAGGGGAGGGATGAATCATTTCATTTACTGACTCAATATTCCAATCATCCCTTGGGTCTCCATTCATTCTCGCCTCTTTTTCATTGAATGAATACCACCATGAAGTCAGTTTAGATCTTTCAGCATAAGGGAGCTGCTTAGAAACCCTCAGTAGCTTCCCATCTGCCTATAGGATAAAATTAAAATTCAAGACTCCCTTCTCCATAGCCTGTCTCCAACTGATTTCTCTGTCCTCTCTCTTACTTTCTTCATTATGAATGCATGCACCAGCCATCCCCATCTCTTCATTCTTCCATGTATGTCCCCACTTTGAAACAGGGCCCTTGATGTGTATTTTCATCAGGCCTTGACTGAGAGCTTTCCCATAGAGAGGCAGTGTGGCCTTTCTCCGGGCACAAGAAGATAATCTCACTTACTGGCAGCTTGGCTTGCTGGTTGAAACACTGACTCTACATAACCGGACACACAGGATGCAGCAGTTTCAGGATTTGTGGGAAAATACTGTTTCCAACTTCCTGATACTCAAGATTTACACAAACTAGCATAAGAGAAGCAGCATCTCTTCAGTGTGAAGAAGAGCAGCCCGTGCTCTTTTCTAGAGAGTGTGAAACCTGTGCTTGAACCAGACCAGCAGAGGAAGGATGGGCCTCTGGGTCACATTCTTTGGGGTCTACCACAGGTTTGTATGTTTGGAATTGTACTTTTCAACTGTTTATACAAAACAGTTTGCCAAAACTTGTAGTTATTTAAAGATATTTTTGGCCAGGTGCAGTGGCTTACACCTGTAATCCCAGCATTTGGGGAGGCGAAGATGGGAGGATTGCTTGAGCCCAGGAGTTCAAGGCCAGCCTGGGTAACATAGCATGAACCTGTCCCTACATTTAAAAACAAAACAAAACAAAAGAAATCTCAGTGTGGTAGCAGCACACACCTGTAGTCCCAACTACTCAGGAGGCTGAGGCAGGAGGATCACTCAATCCTAGAAATTTGAGGTTACAGTGAACTATGATTGTGTCACTGCATTCGAGCCTAGGCAACAGAATGAGAGTGTCTCTAAAAAATAATAATAATAAGATATTGTTGAGGACATTGTTCACTACATTATTCAATATTTCTCTTGATGAGAACCCATGAGATAATTGTCCTGTCTGGTCCTAGACTAGGATTAACTGACCTTCTACTGAAGTATGAATTTCGTAGCTAACACTGAGTCCCTCTTTGAGTTGACTGCTCCATAGCCCTGCTAATTTTGAGGCCCACTTCTGGCAAGTGCTTTCAACATAAAGTTTGTGTGGTGGCTTCATTTCAGGCTTCATCTTATTGTTTGCCATCCTTTATCTAAATCACCTCTGATTTTCTCACTTATCTTGACTTTGTCTTATTATATATGTTTTTGTAATCCACTTGTGGGATAAGGTAGAGCGTAAATTCACATATAAGCAAAAATGGCCAAATTCATGGGTCGATGATCATAATTATTTATATGAAAATATAACTCCAAATTACTTCCAGATGCTGTAGCTTAAGGAAACATATTGAAGGGGAACTTAAAAATATTCTACTTTCTTCCTTTATGCTTTGTAGTTGAAGTAATGGCACAAGATGTGAGGAAAACAAAGTTTTAAGGAAAAACAAGTATGAACATGGCTGAAATACTAAGTAGATTGAATAGTCAGAATTCCAGTGATCTAAAGTTTCTTACTTGCATATTCACTCTTTTATTAGAACATTGGTGTTTAGGGTAGACTCTGAGTTCAGGACCTATGTGAGGTCACATTGCAATCAGCTTCACTGCACTATTTAATTATAGCCACAAAGCACTGTATAGTATCATAGGGACTAGAAGCAATTTTTTATTTTAAAAATTGATTATATTTTTTTTCATTTTCCTGTTTTGTTCAAAGGGAATATGTATAATTCAAAATAAATTCTTCTCTAACCCAAAATAATTGCAGAGAGAAAATTTAAATTGATAAGGCATAGATTAAATAACGAAGGCAGAGAAAATTAGCACAGCTTCCTGAACGCTCCCTTGGAAAAGAGAAAAAGATGATACGAGGCTTTAAGCATGCCAGAGACAGGAGAAATTACACATGATCCCTTCACCAAACAGCATTAGTATCAACAGGGGCTGCCAGAGGTACTAGTAAAATGTGGGAATTTATTGGCAAAGAATACCTGAGAAGCAGAGGCAGAGCTTACTAGTGACACAGAAGATGAATTCCATCCTAGGAAGCCACTATTTTTAATCTGACTACTCCATACCACCCCCTGGTTGCAGAAAATGAATATAGCAAGAGCAATGATGGTCAGGTCCCAATCACCTCTCAAGTAGTGTTGGAGCTGCCAAAGAATTGTGACAAAGTGACGCTGTGGTCAGAATTCTTGGGAAATACATTCAGGGAAAATACAGCTGTTGTATCTGTCCTCAGGTATTTATCAGGCATTTAGTTGGTACAGTTTTAGTATCTGAATACTGAAGCTATTCATCAGTGTGTAATATTTACCTGCTCCGTGTGTGTGTGTGTGTGTGTGTGTGTGAGAGAGAGAGAGAGGGGGGGGGGGGAGAGAGAGAGAGAGAGAGAGGGAGAGAGAGAGAGAGAGAGAAATTGAATTGATTCTTTTGGCTATAAACGATTGTGGGAATATATGATCTGCCTAGGCTTTCTTGAAGGTTGTAATTGTCAACTTTTTATTTCACAGTGTGTGGACAATATACGATGTAATGGTTTAATGACTGTAGTGTTTGAAGAGAATTCCAAAGTCACTGTGCCACATATGATTAAGTAAGTGTGAGAATCCTTTCCTTTACATTTTAATCAAGATTAAATTGGCAGAGCATGTAAAACCTTGAATAAAATACTGCATCCATAGAATTCTGCTTCTTATTGAGAATATGTTTCTTGACAGGAACACAGTGATTCATATGATTCCATTATAAATAAGACTATCAAAATGGTTTTTCACATTCACAGTTTACTAACTCATAGCATAGAAAAATTGTTTTTTATACTGTTACATATATCTTCACTGAGGACAAAATCCTAAGATGTTCAAGTTGAATATAAAATTTAAAATAGTAGGCCAGGTGCAGTGGCTCACGCCTGTAATCCTAGCACTTCGGAGGCCGAGGCGGGTGGATCACCTGAGTTCAGGAGTTCGAGAACAGCCTGGCCAGCCTAGCCAACATGGTGAAACCCAATCTCTACTAAAAATACAAAAAATTAGCCTGGCGTGGTGGCAGGTGCCTATAATCCCAGCTACTTGGGAAACTGAGGCAGGACAATCACTTGAACCCAGGAGGCAGAGGTTGCAGTGAGCCAAGATCGCACCACTGCACTCCAGCCTGGGCAACAAGAGCAAAACTTCGTCTCAAATAATAATAATAATAATAATAATAATAATAACACCCAGATGTGCCAAGTTCAGAGGGTGGACCAAGGTGTGGCTGCCCCATTGGGTATGAATCCTCCCATTGGGTATGAATCATATTACCCAGATTTGGCCATTCAGATATGTTTACATTTAGATAACATGAATCAAGTGGCTTTGCTGTCTACCCACTGCCTATTTATGCTTTGCCCAGAGGCTATTTGCCTAGGGCTGCCATCCTGCTCTAGCTGTTTTTAACAAAGTAAATCTTACAATTTTCCACTAGGGAAGCTCTGGTTTAAAAGGAAAAGTTATCAGTAACTGTGTGCTAGAGCTGTCTGTATTCATGATTTTGTCTCCATATACTTTTTTGTTTTCAAATTCAGAAATTGTCTTGGGAGTATTTTGAAGCTAACCACATTTTTCATTACTCTCATTTTCTTGGTTATTTTCATTCCAAATTCTAAGAGTAAAATATATTTTTAAAAGCAGTTCTATGTTTATAAAAGAAGTTACTTGAAACTAAAAAAAAGTTTGTGTTTTATGGCTTTTTATGTGGATATTTTGAAGTTTGATCTGTTTATGCTGAAGCAATAAATAACATTAACTTTAGAAGGAAGACTTTCTTATTCTGATAGATATTAACTACAGTTAGCATCATCCCAATGGTACAAGTTTTAAAACTTATTATTATATCACATAAAGGCAGAGTACATAATACTGGTGCCATCAATGCTACAGAAAAATATAAATGATAAAAGGATTATAGTGTTTTACATTACTAGTCAAATTTAAAAATATTTTGGGTAGGGCCATTTTAAATTCTAGGGCAAAATTCATTTTACATTCAATTTTCTAGGTTTTGAATTCAGTATATTTGAAACGAGGTTAGTTAAAATGTTATGATGTTAAGATAAAGAATAAATGTAGAATATTAAGTCAAAAAGTCCAAACTATGACTTAATTTTTGAATTCACATCATTGGGTTAGAGTTTTCTTATTAATTTTCTACCACAGAATTTTAATTTTGATATTTTCCAAAAGGATATATATGAATTTCATTGTTTTTGAAAGCACTTTCTTGGAGGTTAGACAACCATGAAAGTCCACCTGCTTTGGAATTAGAATGTGTAAGTGAGAAAGTGCAGACAAGTTCTAAGCCACTAAACCCTAGGGCAGCTGTATGCCCACTACACATACATTTTGTTGACTTTAATAATTAATACTGGCCAGGCATGGTGGCTTACACCTGTAATTCCAGCACTTTGGGAGGCTGAGGCAGGTGGATCATGAGGTCAGGAGTTTGAGACCAGCCTGGCCAACATAGTGAAACCCCGTCTCTACTAAAAAAATACAAAAAAAAAAAAAAAAAAAATAGCCACTCTTGGTGGTGGGTGCCTCTAATCCCATCTACTTGGGAGGCTAAGGTAGGAGAATCACATGAACCTGAGAGGCAGAGGTTGCACTGAGCCAAGATCACGCCATTGCACTCCAGCCTGGGCAACAGTGTGAGACTCCATTAAAAAAAAAAAAATTAATACGAATGAAGACTTCAGTTTTGTGCCTGATCAGTTGTTGCTGGCACCGAAATGCATCTTTTGTCCCCTACCATGGCAGTTTACCAGTGTCCATGTCCAATCTCATTTGTGTAACCACTTACATACAGACCAGGACTTTTCTGCCTTTGGGTGCACAGAGGTGACACTTAATGAGTTGGAATTGTTCTCCTGTTAGGACAGAAACCTGTATCTTGGACTGTAAAGATTTTCTATTAAATCCAACATATCTATAATACACTAGTTTTATTCCTAAGGCAGAGTGAAGTTTTATATATATACTACTATTTTTTCCCAGCCTGACTGAGCCTGATTATCCTCAATCAGAGAACAGAGATTTTGCAATCTCTGTTCCTTCTGATGGCTCTATTCTACCCTGAAGTTTATATTCCTCCCTATGTATCTATTTCCCTATCTATAAACCATGAAGAAAAAACTCAACATTTCTCAGAGTTAAAAAAAATTATCCTATTATAACTGTGTCTTGTTACTGACAGGGCATCACTTTGTAAGCACTCACTTCCTTTTAAAACTTACCAATTATAACAGATGATATGGGTTTGATCTCTCAAGATTATTCTTAAGTGTTTACCAAAGAGGAGTTGCTGTTATCATAGGAGACTTCAGTAATGTATTATATTTTTCTTGAGAGTCTCTTAGGAAATAAAGTAAGATTCTACTCAGTGTAATAAAGGAAAACTAAATAATTTCATAATATTTAATTTCTTTACTTAAAATGAAAATTTAATCACGATTTTGAAGGAAAGTAGTGTAATTAGTCAGTTTTATTTTAATTTCATGCTGGCTTCAACACATTTTTTGTCCTAGTGTTTCAAATAAGCTAATTATAGTCAAAAGATGCAAAGCTCAAAACTACGAATAGAATGTGAAAATCAGGACACTTATTAGGTGAAAATATCCCTTTATAGGGTATGCAAACTATGACTTTCTTTTAATAATATTTGATCTCAACTTTCTTAGAAAATAGAGATTTTTTTGGTGGAAAATGATGGGATAACAAGTGATTATCTAGCTCAGCCATCTTCTGGACAGGCTGATGGATTCACAAAATTTTCTGAGATCTTTTTATGCATAAGCAAATTAAGAACCAGAAAAATAAAGTTGGTTGAGGGACACATAGTGAGTGGAAGAAAGTGCCTTGTTATTTTCAAGAATCTCAAAAGATGCACTTGGGCATTTCAAGATCAGTAATGTAACTCAAGCTAACGGGCCACCCCCGTCAATTCCTTGGCAGGGGGAAGCTGCTCCTTGAAAATGCTCTTTCAGGCCTGCAGATGAAGTACTTCCACCTGCACTGAGCATACTTTGGGCTGGGACATTTCTAAGAGTAAGCTAAGAAAGCAATTGATTCCTTTTTATCCGAAATAAAATAAATATATAATTTCAGATCCCTCAAAGCGCTGAAAGGGCTAATTAAGGGCACTCAACTGATTCTCAGCCAATGGATTCTTAGCAAGCAATTGGCTCACTGAACGTCACTGACCCTGTAGCAGATCCTTTAATCAAGTGGTGAAATTCAGGACTTCTTTGATCGCCTGTTCTGAAATGCTGCAGTGAAGGCAAACAAGGGATCTCAGAAGGGGAAGTGAAGGCTACTGGCGGTCCTCGTTGTCCACTTGGAGAGGCTGCCAGTGCAATGGTCTGAAGGCAAGGGGTTGGGGCAGCCAGATGGGAGGTTTGACAGGATGACAAAAGCAGTGGATTGCAGGGTAGCAGTGGTAGGTGCTATTCAGGGGAATATCCTTCACCCATTACCTTTTTTTAAGTGAAGACATTTTTAATACCACAGAGTGTTGAAAACATAATAAAAACATAACATATCACACTTGCAACTTATGGATTAAACAGTATTCAGAAAATAGATATCCTTAAAAGACATTAATAAGCCAGGAAGAATGAAATAAACAAATTAGGCACTCAAATCAAGAGCTTAGAAAAAGAATGAGAGACTAAACTGTAGGAAAGTGTAGGAAAGAAATAAGAACAGACATTAATACAATATAAAAAACAGTAGAAGGGATAAATAAAAAGAGCTGATTCTAGAGAGCAAAATACCTAACCCTATATCCATCAGTTTAATAAAAAAAAGAAAGGGAGGAAAGCACAAATGTGCAATTAGAAGTCAGGGAAAAGAAATAACTGCAGATATAGCAGTGATATCTGTGTTCCCCTGTTGTGGGAGGTATCACCCAATACTTTCTATGCACACTTTTGATATTTTGCTTTAAGGGCATAAGCAATGCTTTCCCCCGCTCCTAAAGAGGGCCTTTGGCTTCATCTTCCTAATAGAACATGACTGAATTTGAGAGAAGGAATCCACAAAGTGAGACAAACTATTATTTACCTCCTCCATTATTAATTCTGGCTTTCCTAAATTATAATAAACTTGATGTTTTCATAACCCTGCCTATGCTGATATGTCTATATGTCATATAGACATACACAATCAGCACTCTACCTGCCAGTCAACCGCAGATCCAAAATATTTGGAAGAAAGAAAAACAAAAAATAGCTATACAACAATAAAAAAAATACAAATTTTAAAATATAGGATAACAGCATTTTACATAATATTCACATTGTTTTAAGTGTTGTAATCTAGAGATGATTTAAAGTATACAGGAGGTTGTGCATAGGTTATGTGGAAATACTACACCATTTCATATCAGGGACTTGAGCGTCTGTGGATTTTAATATGGTGGGGGGATCAAGGCACCAATCCCCCAAGGATACTGAGGGACAACTGTGCAATCATCTCTCTCCTATGAAATGCAGTGAGAAGCCCACTCCTGAGTGTGTAATAACAAATGCTGAAATACTCAGTGGCCGAGGGGAAAGCCTCCTCCTGGTTTTACCATCATGTTCCTGCCTTTGCACATAGGTCTGATGCCCGCCTTCATAAAGACGACACTGACATTTGCTTCAGTAAAACACTCAACTCCTGCAAAGTGCCCCAGATCCGTTATGCCAGCGTGGAGCGCCTCTTGGAACGACTGACAGACTTGCGGTTTCTTAGTATCGATTTCCTCAACACCTTTCTGCACACCTATCGTATTTTCACTACTGCCGCTGTGGTGCTGGGGAAACTCTCTGACATATACAAGAGGCCTTTCACCTCCATCCCCGTCAGGTACACCTATCGCTAGAGATTTGCCTATCATTAGCATATGGCCCTCTTGGTTCCGGAGTCACCATGCAGGCCAGCTCTGCAAAGCAGATCCTAGGGTGTACTAGCTTGCTTCTGAAAGTACTATGCCCCTCCAGCAGAAGGCCATATGTAAAGGTCACACAGAGTTCCCCAGGCACAAAGTTGAAAACCTGAAATCTCCAATTGGCCTTTGCTTGCTCTGTGATTATTTGGAAATGAACTCCATGGCTTTCGGCTTTTCTTTTTTCTTTTCTTTTTTTTTTTTTTTTTTTTGACAATTATGATTTTAAAACTTTAATATGCATAAGAATCAGCTTTCATGTGGTGGGGGGAGGGTGTCTTGATAAATTGCCGGCTCTGATTCAGCAGGCCCAGAGTGGAGCCTGAGTTCTGAATGTCTAACAAGCTCCCCAGAGATCCCAATGCTGGTGTTTGGACCACAGTTTAGTAGCAAGGGATTAGACGGTGGCTAATAAGTGTCTGTGCTTCTTTGGCAGGTGGAGGGTATACATGTAGCATTTAGATTAAGGAAAGTCCAGCGATAGAAGTGCAATGAGATTGTGGCCTATAAATGAAGGGAACATGTTCTTGAATGACATCTGGGAATTCATTTCACTTGGCTACAATCTCTTAGCCACTTTTGCTCTTATTTTAAGGTCATTGGAATTGTTTTTTGCTACCAGCCAGAACAACAGAGGTGAACATTTGGTGGATGGAAAATCCCCACGTCTGTGTCGCAAATTCTCTTCCCCACCACCACTGGCTGTGTCGAGAACATCTTCCCCAGTGAGGGCCAGAAAGCTGTCTTTGACTTCTCCCTCGAACTCAAAGATAGGAGCATTGGACCTGACGACTTCCAGCAGTCCCACCACCATGACCCAGAGCCCTGCTGCCTCTCCACCGCCACACACTGGTCAAATACCACTGGATCTCAGCAGAGGCCTCTCCTCTCCAGAGCAAAGCCCGGGATCAGTAGAAGAGAATGTCGATAACCCGCGCGTGGATCTGTGTAACAAGCTAAAACGAAGTATCCAAAAAGGTATTATCTAGCACATTTGCATAATTACACCCCACATTTGCTGGCCACCTGCCTCCTCACCCTTCCTTTTGGAACCCTGGTTCCCTTTCTTTACAACTTTAATGCTTCTGCATAGAAAGTAGAATGAGCTCAATGGTGAGTTAGAAGAGAAAATTCCTGTAGATTCCTCTGGCCCTTCTGGAACAGAAAGCAAGATTAGGTGTCCTTATGCCCCTGTAGTAAAAGGCTTATTGTGGTCAGTTATCTGTGGAAGAATAGCATATCTGAATGGTACTGCTAGAGAGTTCTTGGACTTTGGTGAAGACTGGTTGGCTAAAGAGCCTAGCATGGTGCTTTGCACACCAGGAGATTGTGGGTGCTCTCACCTGTGAGCTCAGGCTGCAGAGCCTTCTCCTCCTCCATTATTTGCCTTAGGTACCTGTGTACCTCCAGCCTTTCTCTGCTGAGGATGAGCGAGGCTGGAAGTACCACGATGGCTTTTTTAGTTTAGTTATGAGGACAGTGCTCCATGTTATAGCAGAGGTATAGGGGAGAAATCAAATTGGGGACAGTGTTAATTGCTCGTGACATAGCCAAAATAATTTTTTTTAAAATGTTGATTAGATCATAGACTTTCTGGCTTCAATTCTCTACTGACTTCCTGTCACACTTAGAATAAAGTACATTCTCCCTGCGAGGGCCTTCAGGTCTGTGAGACATGGATCCTGTCTCCCTCTCCAGCCCCTGCTCCTGCCACGCTCCCTCATGCACTAGGCTACTGTCATATTGATTTCCTCTTTGTGTCAGAAATATGTTGGTCTTTCCTGCCCCAGGGTCCTTGCACTCGTTCTTTCCTCTACTTGGCCACTTTTGCCATGTAAGCTCCATGAGATTAGCAGTCTATCTTAGTCACCTCTGTACCCTCAGTGTCTTGGCCAGTGCCTGACAAGTAGTAAATTTTGGTTAAATGAATGAATGAAATAAAATATACAGTGAACCGAACGAGGGTCCTCTCTCCATCACTTTAGCTTCTCAGCCTGGTATAGTGTAGGGTTGGAAGAGGTGATTCTTGTTGCCTTTAAAGTCCAGTGTTTCTGTAATGAAAATAAAAATGATTCACAGAGAAATTACAAACAGCTTTTAAAAAACTGTATAATAACTGATTTATTGATAATATAATAAAAATTGGGCAATAAATCAGACAAAGTGTTCAAGTTTCAAGGTGGATTGCCCAGATGGATACACAGATGCTTGCCTTTCTACCTGCTTGAAGCTTCTATGTGTTTCTAGCTCAGATCATTTAAGTAAGCTCCCTGAGTGAAGTAGTTAATGGAATTTTAACTGGAGTGGTTGTCATCATCAAAAGTTGCACTCTTTTAAAGTCTTTAAATTGACAAGTTAGCAACTATGGAGGAGGAAAGGGAGAAGATAATTAAAAAGTCATTAGAACAACAAGCTTAAGCAAAATTATGATGGATTCTTCTCAGAAATAATGAGGCAGCGCACAAGCTGACAAGTGCATTCAGGGTTGCACCCAGCCCCAGTGCTTGGGAAACCCTGTGGAGGGAATGACTGGAATGGGGCATGGGGTATGGGAAGTACAGGAGCTTTCAGATCATGGCAAGTTTTTTCACCTTCTTTATTGCACTGTGGTAGATAGGAGAGGAGAAATCTGAAGATAAATTGGGATTCTCTCTCTCTCTATTTATTTATTTATTTATTTATTTATTTATTTATTTATTTAGAGTTAGGAAAGCTTTAGGAACAAATATTTCAGTGTCCAACACCCGTGGCTTGGAGGCTGTGGTTTGATTGCTCCTCCGGCTGGGATGAGGATACAGTAAAGTCTCTTCAAGAGTCACTGAGTGAACCTCTTCTCTGTGCAGGATACTGTGTGTGCTAGAGTCCACAGTGGCAAATAGCACCTTCACCATCGTACTCTAGTCATGTGGATAATAGAGACACAACATAACTATATGGGCAGGTGGTATAAGAGGTGTAGATAGAGTGCTCTGGAAGCTGAAGAGCAGGGAGATCACATCTGGTTGAACAGAATCAAGAAGTGTCTTTGACATGAGCCAAAAGATATGTGGGCTGGAAAGAGGAGATGGGAGAACTTCTTGGCAAAGAGAATATATAAGTAAAGGTGTGGTGGTAATCGCTAGTGGTGAGTGCCATTTCTTTTTTTTTTTTCCGTTGAGATGGAGTCTTATTCTGTCTCCCAGGCTGGAGTGCAGTGGCACAATCTTGGCCCACTGCAACCTCTGCTTCCCAGGTTCAAGCTATTCTCCTGTCTCAGCCTCCCAAGTAGCTGGGACTATAGGTGCGCACCATCACACCTGGCTAATTTTGGTATTTTTAGTAGAGGTGGGCTTTCACCATGTTGGCCAGGCTGGTCTTGAACTTCTGACCTCAGCTGTTCCGCTCACCTCAGCCTATCAAAGTGCTGGGATTACAGGTGTGAGCCACCATACCCAGCCAGTGAATGCCATTTCTGCGAGCAAGAGGCATCACTGCTTCTGAAGGGACAGGCTTTGTCCTATTTTGACAGCATGGGCAGCCCCGTAGAGCAGACCTTGTTAGTAGTTATTTTAGGGCTTTCTAGCACTGAGTAAACTTCAAAACAACAGCTCTCCTTGAGAATCTTTCTTCTCCTTCTTCTTACCATCCTAACCATCTTTAAGTGTATAGCTCCATAGTATTGTTGAACGACAGATCTCTATAACTTTTTCATCGTGCAAAGCTGAAACTCTATAATCATTGAATAATACCCCATTTTCTTCTCCCCCCAGCCCCTGGCAACTAGCTTTTTACTTTCTGTCTCTACAAATTTGACTACTTTAAGTTTAAGTACCTCTTATATATGGAATCATTCAATATTTATCCTTTTTTGAATGGCTTAATTCACTTAATGTAATGTCCTCAAGATTCAACCATGTGATAACATGTGATAGAATTTCCTTTTTTAATAGGCTGAATTATAGGAAAAGGCAGCATGCAGATACTACGTTTTCTTTATGCATTTATCCATTAGTAGACATTTGGTTGCTTCCACCTCTTGGCTATTTGCATAACGGTACTATGAATACGGTGTGCAAACATCTCTTTGATATCACCATGATTAAGTGCTCCACTTTAACTTGTTGTGCAGGGAATGTTCCATTTCGATCACCAGCTTCCCTAGTTTTAGTCTTCAAGGTGATAATCCAATACCTTATCATGAAAGCTGCTTTAGCTACTGTCTAGGATGAAGCAGAAATCAAGTTTTTTTCCCTGGAATAATAAGCTGGAAAAAAGTTAGACTGGGATATCTTACTCTGTTTTGTGCTGTTATAGCAAAATATCTGAAACTAGATAATTGTACATGAACATGAATCTGTTTCTCACAATTCTGGAGGTTGGGAAGTTCAAGATCAAGGTGCTGACATCTTGTGAGGCCCTTCTTGCTCTGTCATAACATGGTCAAAGGCAACACATAGACGTGAAAGAGAGGAAAGGGGGCCAAACTTATGCTGTTATAAGGAACCCACTACTGCAATAATGGCATTAATCCATTTATGTGTGTACAGGCCTCATGACATAATCACCTCTTAGAGGTCTTACCTCTCAACACTGTTTCACTGGGAATTAAGTTTTCAACATAGGAACTTTGGGGGAAACATTCAAACCATAACGTTGTGTCCCTTTCCCCCAAAATTTATGTCCTCCTCACATGCAAAATACATTCATTCCATCCCAATAGCCCCCAGAGTTTTAACTTGTTCTGGCATCAACCGATAAGTCCAAAGTCCAGAGACTTATGTGAATCAGATATGGGTGAGACTCAAGACATGATTCATCCTGAGGCAAATTCCCTTCCAGCTGTAATATGGTGGTGGGACACATATAGGATAGACATTACCATAGTGAAAGGGAAAAACAGGCAAGAAGAAAGGAATAACATGCCTCAAGTAAGTCCAAAACCCAACGGGGCAGACATTAAATCTTAAGACTCCAGAATAATCTTTCACTCAATGTGCTGCCTCCTGGGTACACTGGAGTGGGGTTAAGTGCCCAAAGCCTCAGGCAGGCCCAATCCCATGGCTTTTCTGGGCTCATCCCACATTTCAGCTCTCATAGATTAGAGCCTCTTGTCTGCAGCTCTCTCAGGCTGGTGTTGCATGCTGGCAGTTCTAGGATTTCTGCAATGGCCTCACTCTCATGGCGCCACTAGGCCATGAGAGTCTCCAGTGAGGACTCTCTTCAGTGTCTCCATCCTTGCAATAGGTCTCTGCCTGGGACCCTAGGCTGTCTGCAGCATCCTTTGAAATCTAGGTGAGGGAAGCTATGCCTTCACAGCTTGTGCATTCTGTGCACCTGCAGAATTAGCACCACATGGATGCCACCAGTGTTTTCCATGTGCACCCTCTGGTGCGGTGGCCCAAGCTGCACCTGGGTTTGCCTGGGCCACAGCTAGTGTGGCCAAGGAGCACTGCACAGGAATGTGGGGAGCAGCCCTGGGCAGCAAATGCTGTGGTCCCTTAAACTCCTCTCTGCAAACCTGGCCCTCAAGGTCCTAGCTTGTCTGAAAGATCTCTGAAGTACCTTTGGAGTCTTTCTCCCATTGTCTTAATGAATAGCACCTGGCTCTCTTTCAGCCATACTCTCTTTAGTACTAATCTTTTTAGCAAACGGTCACTTGGCCACAGCCTTGGTTTACACTCCCAAAAATGCCTTTTCACTCTTTACATGGCTGAGCTGCAAATTTTCCAAGTCTTTCTGCTCTGTTTCCCTTTTAATTATAAATTCTGCCTTTAAACCATTTCTTTCCTCTTATATATATTTAAAAGTAGCCATGCAACTTCTTAATATTTTGCTTATAAATTTCTTCCACCAGGTATCCTAGTTCATCACTCTGAAGTTCTGCCTTCCATAAAGCCCTTGGGCATCAACACAGTTCACTCAAGTTATTTGCTACTTTGTAACAAAGATGGCTTTTATGCCAGTTTTCAACACCTTGTTTCCCGTTTCCATGTGATACCTCACCAGAATTGCCTTTACTATTCATATTTCTACCAACATTCGATAATTCATGACCACCTAAGTAATCTCTTAGGAGATTCAAACTCTTGAAAGCTCTTCTCTTCTTCTGAGTGCTATTAATGGCATCGTCCTTAACACTCCATTCATGGCAATACAGGCTTTCTCTAGCCCATTCCTTCAGACTCTTCCAGCATCTGTCCATTACCCAGTTCCAAAGCCACTTCCACATTTTCAGGTATTCGTTATAGCAGCAACCTCACTTCTCAGTACTAATTTTCTGTCTTTGTTTTGTGCTACCTGAGACTAGGTAATTTATAATGAACAGAAATGTATCTCTCACAGTTCTAGAGGCTGGCATCTGGTGAGGGCCTTCTTGCTGCATTATAATATAGTGGAAAGCATCACATGGGTAGGAAAGAGAGTGAAGTAGGCCAAACTCATTCTATGCCCAAGATAAAGGCATTCATTCATTCATGAGTGCAGAGTACTCTTGATGTAACCACCTCTTAGAGGCCTCACCTCTCAACACTGTTGCATTGGAGTTTTGAGTTTCCAACATATGAGCTTTAGGGGACATATTAAATCATAGCATGGGGAGACCAAGATAAATGAGAAAGAGCTGGATCAAGCTCTTAGGGAAGGACACTGACACAGACTTCGAAGACCTGTCAGTACAGATATTGGACAGAGTGGGATCATGTGGACACAGTCAGTGGCTGCTGGAGAGCTTTGTCATGTGGCAGCACTGATCATTCATGGCCTGGGGCCAGCAGATGGAGAGGACCTGTGAGTAACAGTATGGCAGAAATATTAGGCTCTTTCTCATATTAGAGAATTAAGCTGAAGGCTTCATGCCTCTGCTGCTCACTGGATTTCCCCAAAACAAGTGATTTAGTGTTATATTTTTATCAGTTAATTTATCCAGATGGTTCATAGGTTAGAAATATCATTTTAGAGTTCCAGGTCATAGTTAAATGCCGAGCTCTTTCTACTCTGGGTAATGGAGAAAGTCCAAGATTGTATCTAGGAGGGGCCCATGGCACTCGGTGAAGCCCGTAGAGCCAACCTTTACTCCAGAGCTGTCAGCTCCTCTGTTCCCCGGGCTTCTTAGTCACATTCACTGCCTAATGCATCCCCCTTAGCTCTCATCTTACCCTGATTCCTCCCTTAGTCCTTCCATTAAGCCACTTCTTTGCATCTTAATTTATTTCCCCTTTCTATAGCTGTCCTCTAATTTCTTTTTAATGCATTTATTTCCCATCTTATATTTAAAAATATTTAAGGTGGTCATTCAGAGAGACGCAGGGTACAACTACCCTTAAAAATTAAATAGGTAGCTGGACATGGTGGTTCACACCTGTAATCCCAGATTTTGGGAGGCCGAGGTGGAAGGATTGCTTGAGCCTAGGAATTCAAGACCAGCCTGGGCAACATAGTGAGACCTTGCCTCCACTGAAAGTAAAAATTTTTAAAAAAAATAGCCAGGTGTGGCTGTGTGCACCTGTGGTCCCAGTTACTCAGGAGGCTGAAGCAGTAGGATCGCTTGAGCCTAAAAGGTCAAGGCTGCAGTGAGCTCTGATCATGCCACTGCATTCCAGCCTGGGTCACAGAGTAAGACCCTGTCTCAAAAATCCAAAAAAAAAAAAAAAAAAAAAAAAAAAAGACAAAAATAAAATAGGTAAGGAAATCAGGCAATGGGGGAAAAGGAATAAGTTGTGTGTGGCCAAGTGTATGGTTACTGAAAAAATGAATACTGTGTGGTCTTCTGCAATTCCTAGAGTCCCCTGACTTTGGTTCCAAGCTCCTCTGCTGACAGAGTAAAGACAGGAATATAATCAATTAATGTGATCCATATTGAAGGCTAGGAATAGATTGGTTGTGCAGGTACATTCTTGCTGGTTCTTGAGACTGAGCACAATTTATCTTGTGGATCCTTACAAAGGAAACACTCTGGGTAGAAAGTTTAGAATTAAGTCTCAGGTTGAGGTAGCTCTTTGGCATTTTTCTGAATAAGTGAAACAAAGAAATTACAGACTCAGTTGTGGGTTTTGTGTGTTTGTTTGTTTGTTTTTGGATTGGTGTATGGGCAATACTGGTCATTAATAATTTTAGGAAAGTCCTAGATGAACACTACTTCAGCATGAGTCTGAAAGTTCAGTGTGTGTGTGTGTGTGTGTGTGTGTGTGTGTATGATGTCTGTAAGAGCCAAGAGTGCTGCTGTGTTAACCCTGCTGTCTAGTCTGAAAAATTTGAGTTGACAAAGAAAAAGGAGACATTGACCCATCTTTAATTTGAAAGATGTTTGCATGTGCCTCACATAATGTTAACACTTAAAACAGTTGGCAAACTTGAATACGAATCCTGTGCCAAGAACTTACACATTTTCTGCTTTTCACTTAAGAATACAACCCCACATCATCGAATTGTATAATATCAGTTTTGCCAATTAGGTCCCTACTGATGCCATAGGTCTCTCTCACTGCCATTCAGCTATTCATTTCAGGGCATGTTTTTTGAAAAGCGCTTGTGACCTTTGTCCATTTTTATTGTCATTGCAATGATAATGCCAGCTTTGCAATATTTCCTGGCAGGAGAACGTCAAACAATGTGAGGAGGAAGAAGCGAAATAGGAAATATCCTTTAAAATGAGTGAGGCAATGAACTTAGGGAAAAATTAGTTCTATTTAATTTCCCTCTGACTCAGTCCCTACATCTGCTCCAGGCTCATCCAACACTCACTAGTACCCTCCCTTCTTATTACCAGGTAGTTTCTATCTTCTTCAACCCCAGGTACTTCTACAAAACACAAATATCAGCCAGACTCAGATATCCAGATTCCACCCAGTGATGGGTTCTCAACAAAAAACAAACCAACAGCGGGCAAGAAAGGCGAGCCAAAGGGTCGCTCACTGTATTCAGACCCCATTACCCCCTCAGTGTTCACTTAGACCATGGCTGTGCAACTTAGCCACCTAAGTGTTGCTGCACAGCCCACAGCACTAGTGTCTGTTTCTGTGTTCTTAGTTTGAAAATTGCCTGCCTGTGGGCTGAAAGTGCTCCCGATTTTAGCATTTGTTTTGAGCCACATCTGCCCACTCGTCCTGCAGGCAAAGCTGTTTGCAAGGAGCCTGATCAGAAGTGAATATGCCAGAAGGAATTCTCCCCTCAGCCCCCAGTGCTGGCATGGTTTCTTCTCTCTGTAGGTGCCTGTTAGCTTACAGGATTCTTCTTTGCTTTCCTGTTCTTTCTTTTTTTTTTAAATTATTATTATTATTATTTATTATTATTATTATTATTATACTTTAAGTTCTAGGATACATGTGCATAATGTGCAGGTCTGTTACATATGTAAACTTGTGCCATGTTGGTGTGCTGCACCCATCAACTCGTCAGCACAGTCAGGTTCTGTCCAGCTTTCTCATTGGGAAATTTCCTGGGTTCAGTGTAATTGCTGTCTAATGATTTTCTCATTTTCCTGAGATGACTGAATGGTTGAATCAGATCAAGGACGTGCATTTCATATTCTGCTCATTCTTACAGAGCAGATGCCTTCCATTACTGAATTTTGGGGGAGTTATTTAGAAAATAATAAAACCGACAGCTAAGCACTGATTTTTTTTTTGTCTGCATCTTGCATCGTTGCCAGCTTTACTGTAATTATGTCATTCAGAGAAAGATTCTAACCATTTCCTTTTCCTGGCCCCTTTGTGTTTAAAAAAGCAAAATTGTGGCCATATTTCTAAGCGGATAAGTCACATGCAAGTATAAAAATGGCCTTATATGAAGTCATTAGGGGTTTTTGAAAGTTTGCTGAGTGAAATCTTGAATGGAATGGCAAAGCAAAGTAGTTCTGCTGACAGGATTAATGTACAATTAGTAGAGGTGACACTAAGCTTTTATCAGTGGGAATTAATGAAAAACCCAAGGAGAATGGAAGAATCGTTGGAAATTTATTACATTTTTGTGATATTTTTCTCTGAAAGCACATACACAAAGTTGTAGTCTTACCTGCTTAATGAATCAGTGGAAGGGGCGTAGAAACATCATTAGTAATGGTCTAACAGTGACCCTAAAATGATGTCTGTGTTATTCTTGGGATGCTAGCTGCAGCAAAGAAGCTCAAATGACCTTAAACCCTCCCAGTGGTTCATTTAAAAAGTTTTCACTTGCTTCCTGCTGATCTGTAGCTCTAGCTCAGAGATACCCAGTAGAATTTTCTGGGAGGATAGAAATACTCTATAGCTGGGCTGTTCGATACGATAGCCACTAGCCACATGTGGCTGCTGAGCACTCAAAATGTGGCTAGTGCAAGTGGGAAGCCAAAATGATAATTTAACTTTAGTTAATATAAATTTACATAGCCACATTTGGGTAGTGCTGTCATTTTGAACAACATGGCTTTAGATCCCTGGGCCCCCGGAAATCCCTGGTGAGGGCCACATTGATAGAGATTCAAACTTTCTTTGGTTTAGGGGACAACACAGGCAAAGAACTTGTGAAGTTCTGGTTTGTAATCCCAATCTGATTTTTAACCTGAAAAAGTCATCTTTCCCCACTCCGAGAAAGCAAAAACATTTGGAAGGGCAGGGGATCCACCACATACCCCTGTTCGTTTTAACATCTGCTGCTTCATTCAACAGAAGGGGCTGGCCGGGGTCAGCCAGGCCCAACAGGGTCAAGACAGGGTTAGAGAAGATCCTTATTTAGATTTAGTGTCATCAGCACTTGACTTGATTTCATATTAAAGCCCTTTAATGAAATGCTTGTTATCTGTAATGAACTTTTGTTTCCATGCATGATACTGACAAGAAGCTCTTGAATTCATGGCCTAGTTGTTAAAATTCATGATGTTTTCAAACAGCAGTCCTAGAGTCTGCACCGGCGGACCGAGCAGGAGTGGAAAGCTCCCCTGCAGCGGACACCACAGAACTTTCACCTTGCAGATCCCCCTCAACTCCCCGGCACCTCCGCTATCGCCAGCCTGGAGGTAAGAGCTCAAGAGGGACTCAGAAATAGAAACGTGAAAAATTATTTCTAGCTTCTGAACCTTTCCTTTGCCTGATTGTTTCACTGCCAAAATAATTTTTTTAGTCTCACTTATTGAAAATTAATTGGGAGCAAATATAGTCGGCCCTTTGTATCCGTAGGTTCCACATCTGTGGGTTTCGTATCTGCGAATTCAACCAACCACCCATCAAAAATATTTGGCAGAAGAATAAAGCTTCTGTACTGACCATGTACATACTTTTTTTGCTTGTCATTATTCCCTAAACATGATAGTGTGACAGCTATTTACATAGCATTTCCATTGTGTTAGTTACTATAAATAATCTACAGGTGATTTAAAATATACAGGAAGAGATGCATAGATTATATTCAAATACTACACGATTTTATATCAGGGACTTAAGCATCCATGGATTTTGGTATCTGAGGGAGATCCTAGAACCAATACCCCACAGGTAACAAGGGATGACCGTAATGTTACTGTAGGACCAAGTGGTGGAAAAATAAATGATTAGAGAAGATGTCATTAGTCTAACCAATATTTGTTTAGTTCCATCATTGCATTGCATTTTGTGAGGAGTAATGTGAATCAAAAGACTCTTCTTTAGATGTTGGCTAGCTGAAGAATCTCAGTGCTGGGTTTACCAAAATGTTCCCAGTTTCTGATATATTACCATGAGTCCCAATGTAGTCTATACGAGTGAACTCATCTGGGCATCACAATTTGGGGATACCTTGTTAATAATATTATTTCATCTAAAATAAGGTCCAGGTACATGGGACTCCAGTCATCATTCTTACTAGTGGCAGAAACTGGCATATGTATTTTGATATATAGTTAAGAAAATTGTACAGCATTACTCCATAATTTGAGAACACAATAAATGTCCTCTAATTGGAGAAAAAAAAAATCAGAACAAAAGGTAGAAATATTTTAATTATCTCCCATTTTCTCCGCTGCTCAAATAAATATATCCAAATAACAGTTGTTTTGAAATGTTTGCTTTTCTCTTCTTAAGCCAATTATTTCAAGTCAGAACAGAAAATTACACAATTATGAAACCAGATTCACCCCAAGTAACCCAAATGAAAAGGCTTTTTTTTTTTTTTTTTTCCCGGAGACTGAGTCTTACTCTGTCGCCCAGGCTGGAGTGCAGTGGCGCAATCTCGGCTCACTGAAACCTCCGCTTCCTGGGTTCAAGTGATTCTCCTGCCTCAGGCTCCTGAGTAGCTAGGATTATAGCCGCGTGCTACCACGCCCAGCAGTTTTTGTAATTTTAGTAGAGATGGGTTTTCACTTTGTTGGCAAGGCTGGTCTCAAACTCCTGATTTGAGTGAATCCTCAGGTGATTCACCCTCCTTGGCCTCTCAAAGTGTTGAGATTACAGGCATGAGCCACTGCGCCCAGTCTGTAGAGGCATTTTTGACTCTCACAGGCATGCTTCGAATAGGGCATTTTAGCAAAAGATAACGTATATGGCTCCAAATGGTTATCGGTGGCCTTGGCAACTTGGTAGAAGCTATTGTCATTGCCATGAGCTCTGAGAGCAACTAGGAGGGTCTGAGTCCGGCTGTTGTTAGAGATCTGCCTTCATGGATATTAGCACTTGGGGCTTTCAGTTATGGGTTACCCTGCCATTTGGGTGTTTCTGGTAAATGAAGGTGACAAATTAGACTTTCCTGGCTTGTCGTGGTACTACTATGGAATGAGCCAGATCTCTCTATTCTTCTTAGGGCTTTGATCAGTCCAGGTCTTGGCAACTCCCTTGACCATTGCCACATAGGACAGACCCCTTTGACTTCATTATAACCTGGAAGAGTTTGGGACCAAAACCTATGGAAGTAAGGCTCTACCAAGGCAAGAGTTAAATGCTGTTCAAGGTGTTACAATTATTAGAAGTCTACTTTATATTCTCTTTTCATATGTTTATATTCACATATAAAATTTTTAATTCACATAAGGATTATTTGGAAATCCTCATCTTGTTTGTGGATTAACTAAGCCAAATCCTTTGTTTCTTCCCTGATATGACTAAATCATAGAGACACAGAAACATAGGAAGGAGGCCGAAACCTGTGATAATATGGAGGACCCAAACGAGGACAGCATCACATATTTCTATCTAGCTGAAATTTTGCCTGTGTGTCTGTCTACTTGCCACCTTGTTCCAAAATGCAATAAGGCTATTGTGGAAAGAGAAGGTAGAGCTGTTTTATGCGTTTGTGCTTGGGCACATTAAGCAGCTCTTTGCTTCCTCTCTCATGTGTGTATTTATTTTAGGCATGATTGTGAAACATTAGGGCCAAACTAATAAAAGCCCTTCAGGTCAAAATCACAGTGGACTGTTTTCACTAAAAGCCTGAGCGAGGAGAAGCAGCGAGCTTGGCACCAGCACTGCCAAACGCTGTGTGTGCAGTCCGAGGAGTAAAAGGGACTGCAAGGTTGCTCAATACATCCTTTTGATTTTAAAAGGGCCACATTTGAACCATCTGTACTGTTAAGGGCGTTCTGAGAAGGAAATTCTATCAGAAGGAAATTCTCTCAGTAACATGATGTGGTATCTTTCTTAAGAATTTTTTTTTATTAAGATATAGTTTACATATCATAAAATTTACCTTTTTAAAGTATATTGTTCAGTCTTTTTTTATTTAATATATGTTCACAAGGTCAGGCAGCCATAACCACTACTTAATTCTAGAACATTTTCATCACCCAAAAAGAAACCCTATACATATCAGCCATTCTATACTCATTAGCAGTCACTCTCCATTCCCCCTCCAACCCCAGCAGCCCTAGGCAACCACTAATCTTACTTTCTCCCTCTATGGATTCGCCTCTGCTGGACATTTAACATAAAGGGAATCATATAATATGTGACCTTTTATGATTGGCTTCTTCTTTAACTTGGCATGTCTTCCAAGTTTATCCATGTTCTAGCATGTATTGGAACTTCATTCCTTTTTGTGGCTGAATAATATTCCCTTGTATTTATTTGTTCATCAATTGGTGGACATTTGTCTCTACTTTTTGGCTACTATGAGCAATGCTGCTATGAATATTCACGTACACGTTTGTGTGTAGATGTATGCTTTCGTTTCTCTTGGTTATAGCCCCAGAGTGGAATTCCTGATGTGCAATCTTGTTATTTGCCCGTTAACAGAGATAATACAGGTCATTTGGCCCAGTCCTTCATCCAGTGCAGGAATAAAAATGATGATTTTCGTTGTAGAATATTATCCATTTGCCTCACCATTCCATTTCCTTTATTTTCAAATAACCAGGACAGACGGCGGACAATGCCCACTGCTCTGTTTCACCGGCTTCTGCTTTTGCAATAGCCACAGCTGCAGCAGGACATGGGAGTCCACCAGGTGAGTAGGGGAGCAGCTATGTACAGATAGGTGACCATTTATATGAAGTCAGTGGCCCGTGTTTGCCAGTGTCTTGATGAGACACTCGTCTGCTCTCACACTGGAATCCCAGGACCTTGGGAAGCCGAAGCAGAAGGATTGCTTGAGACCAGTAATTTGAGACTAGCCAGGGCAACATAGAGACCCCATCGCTATAAAAAATTTTTTAAATTAGCTGGGCATGGCTTTGCATGCCTGTAGTCCCAGTTACTCAAGAGGCTGAGGCAGAAAAATCGCTTGAGGTCAGGAGGTTGAGGCTAGAGTGAGCTGTGATCACACTACTGCACTCCAGCCAGGGTGATAAAGTGAGACCCTATCTCAACAAAACAAAACAAAATAAAATAATAATAAGAGAATGCACATTCCTAGCTCTTTCTGAGTCAGTGTTTCCGGGAAGAGACTGTCTTTTAAATAAGCATCTTCAGAAACCTCCTTATTTGGCCAGGCACAGTGGCTCACGCCGGTAATCCTAGCACTTTGGGAGGCCGAGGCAGGAAGATCACCTGAGGTCAGGAGTTCAAGACCAGCCTGGCCAACATGGTGAAATCCTGTCTCTACTAAGAATACAAAAATTAGCTGGGCATGGTGTCATGTGTCTGTAATTCCAGCTACTCAGGAGGCTGAGGCAGGAGAATCGTTTGAACCTGGGAGGCAGAGGTTGCACTAAGCCAAGATTGCGCCACTGCACTCCAGCCTGTGTGACAGAGCGAGACTCCGTCTCAAAAAAAAGAAAAGAAAAAAAAAAAGAAATCCCACCATTTGCAACAATATGGATGAACCTGAAGGACATTATGTTACCTGAAATAAGCCAGGCACAGAAAGGCAGATACTGCATGATCTCACTTATATACGGAATCTAAAACGTCAAACTCATAGAAGTAGAAGGTAGTAGACTGGTGGTTACCAAGGGCTGGTGGGGAGGAAGGGAAGTGGGAAGCTGTTTGGTCAAAGGATAAAAGGTTCAGTTACACAGGAAGAATAAGTTCTAGAGATCAGTTGTACAGCATGGTGACTAGTTAAAAATGTACCGCATACTTGAAAATTGTTAAGAGAGTAGATTTCAGATGCTCTCCCACAAAAAAATGGTAAGTGAGGTAACAGATGTTACTTAGCTTGACTCAACCATTCTTCAATATATACGTACATCAAAACATCACATTGTACCCTGTAAGCATATACAATAAAAAATAATCAAATGAATAAGCATAAGCTCCTTCAGGTGAGTCATTCAGGCGGTCTGTGGGTTACAGCTCTGAGAAATTCTTTATCAGAGAAGGCTGTTATTCCTCCTGTGTTGTTTGACAGAGTTCTTCACCCTTTATAACTCAATTACTGAGAACACGTTTCCATTTTAATTGAGTACAATGCTAAAAGCATATGCAAGGTGGGAGGGAGGGCTTGTGGAGTGCGGGGAGCAGATGCGGGGGGCAGCAATTGCTTTAGCTGACTCATAATTCATTTCCAGTAGCTCCACGATTCTTTCTGAGATGCTGTCAGTTAATTTTCAGGGTAAAGAAAAAGTACTTAAAATAAAAGCACGGTATTTTAATAGATAAATATTATATTCATTATCTCTTTCCTCTTCTCTCACATGCAAGGAGGATATTATGTTGAAATAAATCTGTAAGTGGTTTCAGGATGGGCATGGTGGCTTACGCCGGTAATCCTAGCACTCTGGGAGGCCAAGGCAGGCAGATCACCCAAGGTCAGGAGTTCAAGACCAGCCTGGCCAACATGATGAATCCCCATCTTTACTAAAAGTACAAAAATCAGCTGGGCGTGGTGGCGCACGCCTGTAATCCCAGCTACTTGGCAGGCTGAGGCAGGAGAATCGCTTGAACCTGGGAGGTGGAGTCTGCAGCGAGCCAAGATCATGCCATTGCACTCCAGCCTGGATGACAGAGTGAGACTCCATCTCAAAAGTAAATAAGTAAATAAATAAATAATAAATCTTTAAGTGGTTTAAATAGCCTTGTTGCTGTGTCTTCACCTAAACTAAACTTATGGGCTCCAATCATCATGATTTGTAGAAACATGAGAGATGGCATATTTTGCTAATTAGCCATTTTTCACCTTTGTGGTAACAAAGGAGTCCTTTCCAAAGATTCTGAACCAATATTCACAATAGTAACTAGTAGATATTATCAGTATGATTTTTTTTTTTCCAAATTGAGGACCAAAAAGAGATGTTCTGTAATGGACGTTAACTACCATAGTGACTTTTATATATATATTTCTCTAAATAAACATTTTGCAGATTGACCACATTCTGTTTCTTCAGCGTTTTGCCATACATGCTTCACTGGAGACATGGTCAGGCAAATTGGGATGTGCTTTGCCCCAAATATTCTTAAAACCTTTCCCCAAGAGTCCCATCAGAATAATACAAAGCAGCCTATAATGGTCAAAATAGCAATCTTGTCGATACTGTTGGCTTCTATGATTGATTACATTCTGTAACAGTGAACATTTGGGGGGAAATAAGGGAGACTTTGCTAGGCTTTCAGCAGAGTTGTTGTCCATTGTGATTTACTAAGACCTTCTCCTGTCTTCTGTTCTTACGAGCTAGCCTGCCTTTGAAAAAGTGAAGGACAAGAGCATCTCACAGATTTCCTAATTTACATATGGTTTGTGAGGGAAAATTAATTTGGAGTTTATTTGAGATGAGCCCATTCCCTATTTGCTGGAGGGTAGGGGGAGGTCCTTTTTTCACCTGAGATTGCAATGAAGATTGAATCATTCGAATGTGCTTTAGAGAATGGTTTTCTGACTAGCTTTCCCAGGCATATTGGGCCAGAAGGAAAAAGTGACCAAAACAGCCAGCTCTTTCTCCCTTTTTGAAAGCCTGCTGCTTTTCTGTTGCCTTTTTTCCTACTTCTCTCCTGCAGCTCAAATAGTCTTAGGAAGAAAACCTTCTTCAGCGAGCTGGCTTCTGGTGGTGCTTTCTGAGGAGGGCAGCACGGACTTGCTAACAGACTCAGTCAATGTTGCTAGGTGTTAGTGAGCCTGCACCCTGCATGAGCAGACTGCTCTTTTATGACAGTGCTGTTGATGTTGCCTATCATGCAGTCTGAAGCCACATGATTTGATTTTAGAAGTAGAGGCAATAAGGGATTGGATTCAACAGTGCCCATGGCTCTGCTGTGAAGGCAGCAAGTTGCACAGGGGTCAGTTTCAATGGCTAGTGGCGGTAAGAAAGGGGGTCTCTTTTGGAGTGGAGACCAGTGCACTCTTGGGGCTCAGTTACTCAGAGGAATTGGTCCCTTAGCAGATTTCACCTGCCTGGGAGAACTGGGCAGAGAGCAGAAGGTTGTAATCAGAGCAGAAACAGGGAAGGGCTAAGAAGATAATCTGGATTTATTGGCTAGCCAGGGAGAGCATGGCATTGCCCGGGGAGGGCTAGACCTAGATACCTGGACAGGTGTTCAAAGGAAGAGAGTGCTGGATAAGAGTCAACTCCCAAACAGACTTTTTATCTCCTCTGGGAATCAGGAATTGCCAGCCTAGATGCATCCAGAATCTGGTGAGTTGCAAAGGCAAAGCAGAAGAAAGATTGCATAGACAACTAAACACCCCATGCTTTCATCTGTCTCTGCAGGCTTCCTGTCTGCTTATTTGGCTGTGATACAGATAGACTTGGGGATGCAGCTCTGCTGTGTCCTGGCTCGTAACAGGAAACAAGGTATAGCCCAGTCAACCCTGAGGTCTGCAGAGTGGGTTTCCATGTTTCAGGTTCCTCTGCAGATTCCCTCTTGCTTTAATACTCTCCCAGCCCTTCCCCTGATCCCATCTCCATAAAAATATCTGGCACCTCTGGGTTATTAATTATTATGTTCTCAAACATTAACTCTAGGCATTTGTATATTAAACCATCTCTTTAAGTTGCTTAGAAAAATTTCTTACTGTGTTAAAAGGAATTTCAAATGCAATAAAAGGGAGGACAGCAATTTTTTTATTTGCAAGGAGGTCAAGACAAGATGTTCCTGCCTGACCCCAGAGGCAAAGAAAACTGATTTTATTTGTGGATGGTGCCCTGTGATCTGTTTGGGATTGCCTGCCCAGCTGCTGGGGTCTCAGCCTGCCTAATTTCCACATGTACTGGAAAAGCCTGGTTTTCAATCTTTTTGGGGGGAACGTGGGGACAGAATCTCGCTTTATCACCCAGGCTGGAGTGCAGTGGCGTGATCTTGGCTCACTGAAACCTTCGCCTCCCAGGTTCAAGTGATTCTCCTGTCTCAGCCTCCCAAGTAGCTGGGACTATAGGTGTGTGCCACCACCCCCAGCTAATTTTTGTATTTTTAGAGAGATGTGGTTTCACCATGTTGGCCATGCTGGTTTTGAACTCCTGGTTTTGAACTCCTGGTTTTCCAAGCCTCCTGTCTACCTTGGTCTTCCAAAGTGCGAGGATTACAGGTGTGAGCCACTGCACCTGGCCTCAATCTCTTTTTCTTCCTTTTTTTTTTTTTTTTTTTTTTAATTAATGAATCAATGACTTAAAAAAAAAATCTACAGCCTTCCCTTCCCAAAATTGGATGAGTCTCTTCCTTCCATGTCATGCTCCCTTTGTTTACCTGAGTCAGCGCTATCCAGAGAACCCATATCCTGCCCCTCAAAACTCAAGATTTGGATTTTATGCTTTCTGTGAATGTGGTAATGCTTCAGGGAATTTTTAATGGATTTTTATGTAGACCCATAGGTGATACCCAGGATTGTAGTGTTGTGCTTTCACTATTACTTCTGTCTCTGTTTATAGTGTTTCTCTGACAAACACATCACAGGAATGCAGCTTTTAGCAGCATTATTGTCTCATGTTTCCTGATTAATTGCAACTCCCTACCAACACTTTCTATCCTTGCTTTATTTTTTTTCCTCGACACTTATCACTATTTGACATACTATTTGTTTTACTAATTTATCTTGCTTTATTATCCATTTCTCCAATAAAATGTAAGATCCACGAG